CACTCCTAGAAACTTTTACATGTGCCATATTTTCAATAAAACATAAAAAACTGTTGAAACATTTTTTCCAACTACAGCAGTGGTCAATGCCAATGTTGGTCAGGCCAACACGTCACCATTTCTCCTCCCTTCCCCACAATAACACATTAAGCAGTCCATCTAGACTGTAGTTATCAATATAAATTCAATAGACATGCAGACACTAATTAACTGTCATAATTAGACTAATGAGATATTAGATTCATTCTATTAAACATCTATACTATAATCAATTCATTATAATAACATAACTAACTAATGGATTTTGTCAGCTTTCATTATTTCCTCAAAATTTGCACCAAGTCATAAAAAAACCGAAAAAAAAATCTTGATTTTTAATACTCAGTTGCAGAGTAGACACAAGTGTTGCATGACCTGTCACATTAGTGTGTCACACAGCATCAGCAAACACAATATTAGGGAATAATCACACTTCTTTAATAAAATAATAAACACATATATGTAGTTATTCTCTATTAAAGAAGTATGATAATTCCACTCTCCACTTCTAAATGTCGTTTAAGTCTTATATCAGCTTAATAGTCAAATGATACGGTTTTAAAACTAGGAGTAAAAACTGCAGTTTAGAGTAGAGTATAGTGTAAAAATCAATGAAAATCAAGAGAAATGCAATTCAATTCATAAAATTTCTCCAGACTTTTGTCATTTGTCTTAAACCGACCTCAGTTCTCAGACAAAGTACATTGAAACCTGGAATAACTAGGTCAACTTGAGAATTCCATTGCGTGACTTTGAATATCTGAAAACAATTATGAATGGAAAGTCGGTTTGAAACATCAATCATTTTTCTAGATTATCAATCACGCAAGACAACCTTAAGATCAATTCAAACATCATCTCTTAATGTTCAAACAGTTACTTATTTTCTCTCCTATTCAGTGGGTTTATCAACTTTACTCACTACTAAAAATGTTTGATTTCGAGCCTTCTTTTATAATATTTTTTAAAAGAGTCTAGCATTAGCTGCACAATAGCTACCAGACTTGTTGGAAAGTCTCAATCCTGTCCTAATGATTCCTCAAAGCAGTAAAGAGAAACTAAAAAAATGTTTTATAAATTTCATTAAGAAACTGTCTGGCTAGTAAATGTGAAAATTCTATAAATAATATTCTTTCTATGAATTGTTCCTAAAATAGATTCTGAGTTGCAGGGAATTTTATTGATTCAATTTCCAGGAATTTTCATTCTGATTTGTGGTATACTGGAGTGGAATAGAAATAAAAATAGTTCAAGAAGCATTAGTAATGTATTATATATGTAAATTCATTACTTCAAAGTTGTACATGCTCCTGCAATATCATATCAGCTGAATACTAATCATTTACATCACTATTTCAAAATATATATAAAAAAGGGCTTTAAAAATAATTTCTAGAATAATTCAAATATGTAGTTGCATCAGAATAATCTCAATTCCAATGATGAGAGCTTTGTAACCTTATAATTAGGAACATCCAGGTTCTCTATAGGACAGGTTGTGAAATAGGTGATATGCTAATAAATAAAATTTGCAAACATAGACAAATGACTGTAAAAGATTTATAGCTTCTATAGGAGTACATGTACATTCAAAATTGCATAACAATGACCAGGAATAATTCAAAAAGCCAAAAATTATGATTATGAGTATCAACTCTTTTCAAAGATCATTTTAATCATCAATTATCCTATAAACATCAACTGAAGCAGAAAAGGGCTGTTACTAATGTGCCTTGACAATACCCATTTACAACTTCTAGGTCTTCATGACCTACCAAGACATTCAGCATGGTCAATAACCTTACCAGTAAGAAACTAATTCAAACAGAAATAGAAATTTCTATCATTTTTACAATTCAAACTTAGCTTGTCAATCACTAAAAAAAATATTTAAAAATCCAAAGTTAGCCTTCAACCCAATTCTGTATGTCAGAAACAAAATGTGATTTTGAAACAAAAGCTATTAACAACCTTCAAAGTGTCTGAATATAAAGTTTTTAGATCTTCAACTGTCAAGCTGAGGTTTAAAAATCAATAAAACAGGACAAAACCTTGTTACATTCACCAGAGGAAAATCTGTTGTTGAAATCTGGGATTAAACGATGTGACAGCATTTGGAATAAAGCTACTTAACAACATAGAGAAATTCAATAAAAGGTGGATAATCCTGCAAACCAATTACCAAGACAATGGTCACACAGATTGGTAGATTAGCTGGGTTGATGGAAATAGAATTCAGATATCAGGCACATCTGCTGACTATATAAAGACAATTTGTAAGATACTTAAATACCACTTTGCACAGCCAGGCACTGCTATTGTCTGTTGTTAGCTGATTGTAAGACAATGTAAGGTTTCAATATAAAGATACAATTTAGTATGAAAATTGAGGAAATTGATAAAATAATGAGCTCAAATTGTATGAAGGATAAAAATACTAGAGTCTATTACCGACGCCTTACTATAGGTAAAAGGATTAGGATATTAATAGCCAATCATTGAAACAAAGAAAAATCTCTCTAGCTAACAATAGTTGGGCATTATCATTTCCATAAAAGACCTGCTAGTTTAAAATCTCAGATTGGACAGAAATTTGTGAACTAGTGGATGTCAGATAGACCATGTCGACTTTATTAAACGGATTGCGAAGAGGTTTTCTATTTTTATTTGTATCAGGAAAACTGATAGCATTGACTTGCAACATTCGAATTTTCAATCAGACTCCTGTGGTTCCTGCAATTCCATTAAAACTAAGTGTTTGATGACATCACTAATCACGAACTGAAGAGCCTTACGTGCTAAAGCATATTTTGCTTTAGTGACAATCCCTTTAAGTTATCAGGGTTCATTGAGGAAATACCATGATAAAAGTCAATATCAGAACATTCCTTAACAATGTGTCAATTACAATAGAATATTACATGTCAATATACAACAGAAATCAATGTCATGGTGACATTTTTACATAATACCATTCCATGCAATTACTAAAACGCATTAAAGATATTGGTACATTAACTTTTCTTCCATAAATTTTCTTTCAAAATTGTTTGATTTAATCAAAATCAACTCCAAATAAACAGACAAATAAATAGAACAATGATCCTGTTACATCGTTTACAATATGTGTCAACAAGCACAATCAGCCAGTTATCTGATGGTGCCACTCTGGTTTTTTGACAGTAAAAACCTGTACCAAATATTCATATTTCTCCATCCATCAAATCTTATAATAGGTTAGTAATGAAAAATCAATGAAATTCTAACAGACAAAGGACAAATATTAGGTACAATTAACATTCAACAAACGGAATAACAAAACTTTAAGCATCTTCTTTACAAAATTCAATTCAGTAGCACTTTCAGTGCCAATTAGGCCCTACTTTATCTATCTACCATTATATCTTAACAACCTTAAATCAATTACTGACATGACCAATAACTCTTTCTTTTGTTCAATGCCTGTACAATAATCTGGCTTTTATATGCAACACAAGGACTTGCAAGATATGATTAGAATCAAGATTCATTTGGCACTTTTTAAGTTAGCCATCTGCCTGACTCCTAATACAACTACCTGTTACAGGCTTATCCTGAAACTAACAAAAATCAATGGAACTCTCATAGACAATGTCAGTTTAATAAGTAGAGAACCTGAATCAATGATGTTTAATAAGCTAGAATTTCATTCAATATAACTCCACTCAGCTGACTGCCAGCAAGTCAGTGGTGGAATTGGAAATTCGTTTTGTAACAATGAGGAATTACAGTATTGAAAACTCACCCTAGATTCTCAGCAATTTCTCTTTAAAATGAAAATAAAATCGTTGTCAATCCTTGCAAGCACCATACCTTCTTTTTGTCACGTTTCTTTCCCATTCATTTGACAGTTGTATCATGTGTTATCAGCCTTCTCTCTTGTTTTGACTGGGATTTATTTGTGTGGGCGTGTCTTAAATTACTAGAATTCCATTGGTTAAAAATAAATCTGATTAAAAATAGTACTTTGATATTTATATTCGAAAAAATTCTTTCATCAAAAATATCTAAATGACAGCCAATTCTAGACAAAGATTTTTACCACAGATTCTAACTTAGTCAAATCAAATTTTTTCGATATATTTTCTGCATAAATTATTCAGTGCGGGACGTCAATATGTCAGCGCCCATAGCATAACAGAAAAAAGTGAAAGTAGATAAAAATTTCATTATATAACTTTATGTCAATCGATCCAAGAAAGATACTTGTTGTTAAAAAGATTTGATTTTTTCAATACAGGTACATGATTTTTGTCGCGAAATAAGGATACATAATTAATTTTGAAAGGACAAATTTGGCTACAATGACGTATGTTGTCTTTGTAAATTGAAAAATTCCTACTCTCTGGCCACATTGAGTTCTCAACTGAATTTTTTCTCTCATGTCACAAATATTCAAAATATAATTTTCAAGTGCATACCAATTGTCTTAGAATGCCTTTGGGTCTATGAATACTCTCAGCAATATTTGGAGATTAATATTTCAATTCATACAAAAATGATAGCCAAAATGTGAATTAGAACTTGATGTGGCCAGAGAGTAGTTGATTGTAATGTATAATGTAGGGTAGCACCATGGAGTTATTTTTATAGATAAATCTATGAGTAGCACCAGTAGATCATGAAGGGGGTTATATAGGGTTCTGCAAAGTTTTACTATCTTTTTAACACTTATATTTATTTGAAAATCAATGACCAGTTGTTATGAATAAGTAGGCCTAGTCTTGATTTAATAACAGCTTTCAACCCATACCACAGCATTGTCATTTTGGCTTTCCACATATGCACTTTTTTTTTCAGCTTATGGTAGGCAAGACAGAATGTTAAGATTACGAGCACAGACAAGTTTTTGCCGCATAGCATGTAGATGTTACACTACTGGAGTAAAAAGAAATCCTATCAAAGAAAAGAAAACAAAAGCCATGTTAGACAGAATCATTCGAGTTGATCATGCAGGAGAACTTGGAGCAGACCGAATTTATGCTGGACAGTTTGCAGTTTTAGGGAAAACATCTGTTGGCCCAGTCATTCAAGTTAGTTCAGATTGAAGATTTATTATTTGATTAGGCTATATGTAAACATTTGGAATAAGTAGCCTATCTGTGAGAAATATTGCTTTTTCAAATGGCTTAAAACCTCTAATGGATTTAAGAAAAATCACAATTTCCATGTAGATTCATGTCCAGACAGTCCAGTCACTACTGGCAGTATTGCTGCCTCATTCTTAAATGATCCCATATCAAGACAAGAATTACTCATTTAAGTGATTGATAAGTCTGTAGTTTATAGAATTCTTGTCAAGTATACCAATACATGGGTTTCCATTACTCACTTAATTAAGTTTTCATACATGCAGGGTTTTCACTCTGTGTAACAAACTGTTTATTTTTCACTATTTCAGGAGATGTGGGAAGAAGAAAAAGAACATTTAGAAACATTTGAAAAGTTAATGGTAAAGGAAAGAGCAAGGCCAACTGTACTCTTACCTATTTGGAATGTTGCTGGTTTCGTTTTAGGTAAAAGCTTGGTACCTGTAGGTCTTGGCTAACATTGGACTACCTCAATATATACCTTGATACCATTTACTTTATATCTTCTGTTTATTGCTGGACATATTATCACATGGGTTTAGATTTGATACTTATGGTATTTCAGGTGTGAATATTTGAGAACATCTACAAAAACTGTTTTCTTGTAGGCCTACTATTTGGTGATTTAGTAATATATGGCTGTACATACCCATATAGCTAAAACAATAACCCTTGGTGTTTCAGTAACATATGATGCCATATACTTGTAGAGCATAAACAGCCCTGCATTGTGGTTGACTATGTATTTTATATTTTAGGAGCCAGTACAGCATTACTAGGTAAAGAAGGAGCTATGGCTTGTACAGTAGCTGTAGAATCTGTTATAGGTGACCATTATAACAGGTATATATAATCAAGTCTGAATTTCTCGTGATTAGTAGAACTCAGTATTAAAAAAACTTAAAAAAATTGTATTTCTTGTCAAATTGGAATCAAATGTATGTTTGAGGTATTTATAACACAATTCAAAATGGAAATATTTTGTTGAATTCAATTGAGCTTTTGTTAATTTCAGTCAGATTCGTGAGTTAGTGGAAGATGATCCAGAGAAACATGCCGAGCTATTGAAAACCATTAAAAAATTTCGAGATGATGAATTACATCACCATGATACTGGTCTAGAACATGACGCTGAAAAGGTTGGTCCAAGTTTTAGGTTTTTTCTGCAGCACAGGATGTGATATTGTTGAATGCTTTCTTGCCTTCTGTATTAAAATCTGCATACTGCTCTTGTCGATTGTGAACCAAATTTCATATTTAGATGCTGCAAACCTTGATGTCTCTTTAACGGCTGAATTAACCTCCTTACAAGTTACTAGATACAGTAATATAGAATTTATTCTGTTTCAGGCCCCATTTTATCAAGCATTAACACAAGTTATAAAAGTTGGATGTAAAGGTGCTGTTTGGATTTCAGAGAGGATTTGATTGCTAACTTTTACAAAAGCTATTCTCGACTGAGAAAAAACATTTTTTTGAAAAAATTTGTGAATGAGTAGATGAGCAAGTATACAAGATGTTAAATGTGATTTGGACAATTGGATAGAATTGTTATTGGAGAACAAAAACAACAAGTAATATGGTTGTGTACATAAAGCTCAAGTATAAAATGAGACAGTCTAAAACCTTAGAATAACTTGTATAACAACAAGATACAAATACTGAAAGATCATATTTCATTGCTATGAACTGTGCATTTCCCTATTAAAGTGAAAGTGAAATTAGCGATATATGACAACGCTGAAGTGACCAGAAAAAAAGAGCATGAAATAATTTATTATCTTAAAAATTTGATATAAATAATTATAATTATTAATTATTGTTTTATATTTTAAAACAAATCATGTATATCATGAATACAGAGTTGAAGTTTACTAACCCTACAGAAATAGACAATACATAAACATATAATTGTGGTTTTAATGATATACACATATCAATATCATTTTTAAGGTAGATTTAGTAGTAGTTGAAACATTGCCTGGTCAAATCTAAAAGTAACCTATTGCCTAGATGTATATGAATGATCTTTTGAAATAGACTGTTCCGGATGAGATTAAACAAGTACATATACGAGTATATAGGAGGTCTAGTGGACCTTTGTGGCATAATGAACCTCATTACTAGAATATATGGTAATGAACTAGGTAGATAATTTATTGAGATTATTCATTTATCTAACAGTTGGTAGATTTGTTGAAAATTTGACAAGTATTAATTATAAAATTAACATAATAATATCTCTTAGAGCACTCAATGAAAACATTTAATTAGCCTGATTATAAATATATTCATTATTGAAATGTTTTAGATCCTTCTGTCTAAAATATCCAGCCATAATTTTTCAAACACTTATCAAAAATACTACAAAGTTAGGTTTTCATAAATAATAAATACATTAACTATTTCTTACTCTTAATGTTATAAAGTAACACAAAAGATAAGATGTAAGAATTATTTTCTTGAACAAAATAAAAACCTGAGACCAACAGTGCTAAGATAACATATAACTGTGATGATAATATGCTAGTATTTGTAAAGTGCACCTCAAAAATCAAATTTGAAAATAATATTAAAGCTTGATTGTGTATCCAATACCTTTCATAAAATATGCCATTCTGTGACTTAGTTTGTCAACTTGACATCTCTTTTGGAAAGTTCACATACCTAATAATATTTACAAGTAATTAATATTATAGTTAAAAGATTTCTTTAAAAGTTGAAGAATCAACACATATATAAATAATATCTACATTTTAAAACATGAGCTTGAGGGAATTTTTAAACTGACTTTTCTTCTGATTTATTCAAATGTTCCATGATTTTCAATTCCTTTGCCTCCTTTTTCTTATTTCTAGCTTCATATTCTAACCTGTGAAAACAGAATGAGGTTTTCGTTGAAATTACTGGATGATAACAATATAACAGGCATATAGAAATTATTCCAAGTTTATAAGTACAACACAAAAGTTTCAAGAATCCTGTCTATAAATAGCTTCTAAAAGACAATACATTTAACTCTTTTACTATTTTCTGCTTTTAAATGCACTGGGAATATTTATGGAAGGGTGGTCCATTCTTGCCATATTTAAAAACCCCATTGAGATTTTAACGGTTCAAAATCATTTTACTACTTGAGATAAATAATAAAGTAAAAATAACCCACCTATTTGAAATAATTCTGTTAATAATCATTTGAGTTGTCAATTCATTAGCACTATCTACTGTTTTAAATTTACCACGTCTTTTAGGTTCCTACAAGATAAAGTTATATATATCATAATGTTGCTTTAATAAATTTAAGTCCTTTAAGAATAACTAACAATAACACAAGAAGAAGTTGATTTTCAATACAAAATGACATTTTATAGCTGCAATCATATATGACTGAAAATGTAGTGACAACTCTGTTTGAGTGAAAAAAATAAACATAAATATGTATGTCTCTTTCTAATAAAAGATAATAAGACTTGACATCAAATACCATCCTTTAATACCCAACGTTTCGTCGAAAATGTTTTGACTTCATCAGGGGAAGAAACAAACTACAAATGGTGGAAGGCATATAAGAGGCACAAGTGATATATACATATATGGGTAACAAGAATTAACAAAGTAAAAACTTACTGCATATGGGTCTGAACCATCTACATCAGGCATAATAGGTGTTTCACCATGACAGACAACATCTACCTATAATTACAACAAGAGACTGGAGATAAACAGTGCCATTTTTAAAAAGAGATTGGGAAACACATATAGTTCATAATCATTCTTATATCTGCTAGAAATCTGGGTAATATTACTACAATCAGAGTTCTTATTGATGTAACAATCTTTGATGTAACAATGTTTTAAAGAATAGAATTTTAATGGTATAAGCTGAGAATTAAGATTGTACCTACAGAAGGAGCAATCGCTAACCCAAACGCCAAAATTGCTGAGATTAACATATGTTCATACCTTAAAATGGTCCATTAGATCAGGTGTAACAGAGTAGGGTGCTCCTATCACTACTTCAGATACATATCTACAAGCTAACACACTGAATACACGTTCATGTAGATTCATTATAGGATAGTTACTTCCCTTGTATCTATTTACAATCTACAATGTATATCATATAAAGTAACTTTAATCTATATTTCAAATCTCTATCTACAATGTTCTCACAATAACAGAAAGTCTTGAAATTGGCATCACATTAAGACTAAAACATATCAAATATTTCTTTCTATAATTATAGACAATTATAGATAATTGATATACAGAACAAATAATATTTGAACTGTGATTTAATTCTATAAACTTTGTTTAGAATCCTAAAATATTAAAAATAATACTTACAGGATCAGTATGTAAACCAACAATGACAAAATCACCTTCTTTAGCAGCTTTTTCTAAAAAATCTAAATGACCCAGATGTTTTCAAAGTTAAGGAATCAAAATCATAACTACTTTTCATAGAACAGAAAAAAACAATCAAATTTATGTTATCTAGGTAAACAGCAAATAAAACTGAGACTCCTTACATGTTATGTTTGTCATATTCACCAGTGCCAAACAAGTAGCTCTCCAACCTCTTTAGTAAGTATTATCTTCATTCTAAATTGAACAAAATCTGTTTTAGAACAGAACCAAGACAGTTATTATGTCTATAGTAAGTAGTAAAAACAAAACCTTGAAAGAAATAATTTTCAAAGGATATGAAATAAATCGAAAGCTCCAGCAACATACACAATTTTATCTCCAGGTTTTGGATCCTTTCCTTCTGAAAATTGAATAATTTTACGAGAGGTGGGTAAAAACTGGGAACACCCAGTCCATGGACTTTTAGAACTACTGTCCTGAAACAAAGAATAACAATATTAGTACATGAAATATCTTGAATTACATAAAAATAACAAATTTACAGAATTATCTAGTAGCTAAGTAAATTATATCTAAACATGCAATTGATAAAATACTTTAAAAACATAACAAACAAATGCATAAAGCTTTTCTTCCTAAATGATTCACTATGGTTAATTTGACAACATTTAATTTCTTTATTAGTATTGTTCTGGTGGCAAATTGATGAAAACAACTGTGATTATGTGTTGATTGAAGAAATACAAATTATAAATCAGATCTAAGCGTGACTCTCAGTTGAAGTTTATGATTTAGATTATGTGATATTTAGAGGAAGCTAAGATAATTCAGAAGGAGAATATTTAATGATTGCAGATGAGATTGCGATGAATGAATTTATTAAATGATCTAGTACTTGGTGAATGGTGGTTACAGGGTTAGGAAGTCAGGAAGACTCTCTTAAACAATTATTATTATTATTCAACGACTTTATTTGTTTTTATGATTGGAATTCCATGTGACATTTTTTTCATGCTAGCTTACAATTGATGAGAGTTAAATCTGGGCAATGGTTAATTGTCTAGGTTTTAAACCAGTCTATTAGCAGTCTGTAAATCTCTGTATACAGTTTCAGATTTTTAAGCAGATATTTTGCATTCATAATTGTGAAATTGACAGTGATAATGCTGAATATTTGAAATAAGGGGTTACAAGATTTAAAAGTTTCACTTGGAAAAACATTAGTCCTACTGAAAATTGTATTTCATAAATAATTGAATACTTTGAAAATGTATAATGAAATGTAAAATATAGTGAAATGTAAAGTAAAGTTAATGGTAAAATATAGTGAAATGTAAAGAATTGTGAAAATTAAAATATAGTAAAATGTAAATAATAGTGAAATGTAAATTATAGTGAAATGTAAATTATAGTGAAATGTAAATTATAGTGAAATGTAAATAATAGTGAAATGTAAATTATAGTGAAATGACAATGATAATGTGCTTTAGGTTAGAATTAAATTTGTGCTACGTTTTATAATCAAAAGTAATTCCCTAGATCTCCACATGATGGTAAAGAACAGGCTTTTTACTGTAAATATCTAACAATGTAATTTAAGAAGAAATAGGATTTAGTACATGTGAAATTAGAAAAAGTCATTAAAATATCACTACATTTAGATTTTAATCAATGAGAAATCCTCTCGAAATTGCAGGAGCTTCTTTTTAAAGATGTCTGAAGTTGAAGTTTAGTTTTTTGTAATTAAACCTGAAAGCAATTAAGCTTTTAAAAACATTAAAACCAAATCTTCTGTTGATTTGACTCTGTTTTTGGCTAGAGCTTGGAAATGTCTCACTGTGATATTGTATCACAATGAGGTAAATTTTTAGAATTTAGAATATATTCAGTTGATGAATGTCTCATTTGAATTTAACGAAAAGAAAGAAAGGCTCTGTAATTTCTGAGAGTATCTTGAAGTTTGCACTACAATATTCAGTTGTAAAAGACAAATAAAATATACAGCTGAGTTTATAAAATTACTTCAGAAAATGTCTTGATTTTTTTCGCAGTTTCCTAAAAAATAAAAATATTGTATCTAGATTTTTAGCTAATTAAGCCAAAATTTCGCATTGCTAATACTTTCAGCCTATGTTGAATATGATATTTTGCTGGGAATCTCTTATAGGCTGCAATTTCACAGTGTCTTTTTCACAAATATTTACATTTATAACAAAAATTTAATCATATCATCTCCTTAAAAAATTGTTGATATTTTCCTTTAAACTATTATTCGAAAATTCTACAAATACGCTAAAAATTTAGGTTTGGGAAATATGAGATGAATTTGAAGGTAAGTTTTGGGTATGATTATCAGCTGCGCAATGGGTAAGAAACTGATATAATTACAAGATACAAGTTAGACATGGTTTTCATTAGAGATTCAATATCATTCTGAAACAAAAAGTTATTCTAAAAAAAATGAAAATATTATAGAAATATCATAGGTCTAGCTGAAACAGATTTCAAGATTAACAGGTAGGATAATACAATACAATCTACAACACTACCCTTTTTCTCAAATATAGCCAGTGCCCTTCCTTTCTTAAAATACGAAATATTAAAACAACAATAACTTTTTCAGAAATTAAAGAGGAAAATGATAAACCTTTATAACTGTTTCTTAAGCTTTATCATTAATCATATCAGTTATTGTCTGTGAGTAAATTAACAAGGGAGTTAACTTACCTTTCCGATTGCACCAATATGAGATTTATCTAGCTCGGCACCTTCTTTCTGATGGTGAGTTTTAGTTACTAACAACATTCTGGAAGGAAAATTAGAACAACTTTTGAACTAGAGAAGATAATTTAAAAAAATCATTTAAAAACTCTTGATAGCTTAATTTTTCTTTTAAATCTGAAACTAGTTTAGATTCAAATGATCATACAAGTAAAGTCAGTTGTACTACAGACACCTAGCCAAATCTATGTAAGGTGATGTTATAGTCATAGAAAATCAAAAATAAACTAATATAAAACCTTCTGAACGCATGAAGTTTTTGTTCACCCAAGTGAGCATCTGCTCTTGGACTTGGTTTGTTCATGTTTCAGAGAGATCAATGCAAAAAAAACATCAGCTCAAATTTAACATCGTTACAATCAAAATTGATTAAGCTAGTTAATGACACATTCAGAGCCATGCATTTGATATGTTCAAAACCAGGCATGAATTAGGTCTATTAGACATAAAGTAACAATCACAAGTTACATACCTTCCTACAAGATCTGTTGTAGAAACTCCTTGTGTTCTTTTACATTCCCTATAATACAAATTTACATTTGCTCTTTAGTGTAACTTTTCACAGTTTAATGCTTTAAACACGATTTCTAAAACAGAATACACATAATGACCATTTGTCATATGTTAAAATATTCTATTTAAAATTGTTTCTTGTTAATCAAATTAAGACCTTAATATAGAGATTGCTCAATTTGTTACTTACTTATATCTATTAGCAGCTTTGACTAAATGATATGTATCTTGACCATCTGCTGTTGTTGTGATATCATCTACAATTATACATTAACTTAATTTACCTATTTTATAAACACATATTGAAATAGAAAATATTCCATTGTTTATGTTTGACGTTTTATCACCAAATTGGACTAAACAATAATTGCCAATAACTTCTAAAAATATACAATGTTCTGATTAATATTTAGAAATGTTCTCAAAAACACTATCGAGTTAACTCATGAAGTCTGTGTAGCTTAGATTACTCCTTAAAACATTATGAAGTATAATTGTAAATGTTCCCAAAAGTGTTATTAAGACTCATGAAGTCTGTTGTAAGAAACAAATCAATCCACTCACCTCCATGTACACAGAAGTCAATGTTATATTTATCCATTGTTTCTAGCGTGGTAACATAAGGGGCATCTTCTATCACTTCATCAACCCATTTAATAGCGCGGACCATTCTATAACGTTCTTGTTCATTATAAACAGGAGGTCCTTTATGTTTTGATACTTCACCTACAGAATAAGAACATGACACATTTACATATTTCCATTGCTGCACATCTTTTGAGTTATTCTACTTATCCATAAAGCTAATATCAACTTTAGCAGAAGTTAAAAAGACCAGGGGCAGAAAAAGTAAACTTTTATGTGGATTTGCCAACATCATAAAATCTTTATTCTAAATATTCTTTAGATAAGACACAAATCCTCATTATAGCATACCATACATGTTAAAAGAATTGTTGAAATGATATATGTGTGTGTCTTGAAATTTCTCTATGATAGATCATATATTATCTTAATCAGGTGACATATACTCAATGATAATTAATGTCAATCAAAAACAATAACTTACTGTCTGAATGAACTCCAACAGCTAAATAATCTCCCATCTCTTTACCCTGGAATATGACATAAAAATATTAACAAACTTATTCATAAAAATGTAATGGAATTTACAACAAATGATGTCAATTCTTTAATTGAAACCCTCGAATTGGAGTTTGAATATTAGATATAGTTGAATTTCTTAAAGCTAGAAAATATTAGTAAACTCTGTACATACCTGACGAATGGCATTGGCATGACCAAAATGTACCATATCAAAACTGAAACAATCAAAATAGAATACAATGATAATACTATTCACCTAACACTTGTGGTTCAGGAATTTCTGCCTTCTTAAACTAATCTTGCACAAAATTAGACTGTCAAAAAATGTAAATAATCTCTTCTCATATATACACTTTTGCAGTATTCAAATTCTGAATTTTCCTTTTTTGTGAAAACGTTGTCAGTTTTTATTTTCTAGCATTTATCCCAAGATGAAAAAGTTCTAACATGGTGTAGGTGTTCAGAATTATTCAAGGGGGTTGAAATAGCAGTCTAGAAATCTATATCTTTATTGTGTATGTCCGTGGGGGCTGGGCCAAAGCAAGTGAGAATTAAGAACCAGCAAAACATTCTTCATTTCAGCAGAGATTGATTCAGTTACAGTGTCTTTGAACAAAATGTTTTTGACACCTCAAAATTGTCAGAAAGTACAAAATCTGAACCCCAGCACCAATTCATTCCTGGCATGGGGCTGCTAAGAACACATACATAAATTATATTATATTACTATATTTCTAGGTAGACCTAATTAATAGTGTATTATCTGAGACCTGTATTGAAGGTCAGCAGAGAAATAGATCACTGTAATCAATGTGTTATTATCATAGGAGATTATTGAGTTGTTATCTAATTAACAGGTTACAACAGACTCTGAAATCATTCATAACGACCCTTGTAATATCACACATATATCAACTACTATTGTCAACAAATACACTGCTATATCTTATCATGAAATTTATAGTTTTATCAACATTCTCTGTTGGGACATAAGCTTATGACTGTCTTAGTACTTTCCTCAGTAACTTAAATCATAACATTTATTTGAATATTAGCCTCAAAATAGTATCTATAGTCTTGAATCACTTTAATTTGATAAAGAAATAAGCAATGGCACATATTTTCAAATTTGCTTTTGTTGATGACAGTTTTAGCCAAAATGTTTGTTTGTGTTTGAAATTCCTCAAAGGAAAGTGTGTTTATATTATAAACCAAATTAACAATACAAAGTTGATCAGTACTATTTTTGCAGTTGATATTCAAGTTGACTCAATAATTAAACTCAGTACTAACGATATGGACTGCAAAATAAAACCCTAAAATCATAGCAGCTAATGATTTTTCATATGAGGAAGTATATCAATCAAAAGTGACTAAGTATTTCATCATGAAAAATGGTATCAGGTATCTAGAAGAGTAAGCATACCATGCCTGGCTCCACACTTGTCATAGCTGCTTAACATACACAACGAAAACAACAAAAAGGAAAGTACCAAAAAAAAGTTTAGAATGTTTCAAATTACATAAATATATTTTACCATTAGCACTGATGATTAAACATAACTACATTAAAAAAACATAATAAACTGTGTAGATTTACATTAATCAGTTAAACTCTGTCATAAATCAATACGATCAAATCAATATACAAAAATTAAATATTATAATATAATGTCATGTATTATTATTACGTAAATAGTCTAAAATGCTGTCATATACATCTCTACATAATTAATTAGGCAATTTGTGTTCCCTAAAGCAAATGATGGCTGCTCACTTTACATTTGTAATAATATCATTACATTCAAAACTAGAATAGACAGAGTCCAAAACTTATCAATTTTTACTTATTACTGGTATTAACTCGTTAGACCTTTATCCATAAAAAGATAAAACTTTCACTGTATTGACATTTACCATAATGAAAACAACTGTCACCTCATGTTTACTTTAGAAAAGGAAGGGGTTCGATAAGCTTAAGCCCATGAAGTTTGTTTGGCAATTTAAAACCTAAACATTTCACTAAGACCCTTGAAATTACATATCTCGAGATTAGTTGAAGCCTGCTTATAACAATTAAACTGAAGCATAGTCTTCATATCACACTATAGTTTTACTATATTGCCTACGAATTTAACTTTTGTAAATAATTTTTATTTCACATTCAACCATGTGATGAAAACAAATCATGTCATACATTAGTGAATCAATTAGTAATAATCATACAGAAAGCACTCTGAAATGTTTCAATACCTTTTGCATAATAATGTCATGTATTGCATACAATTTTAACTTTATAGTTAATATACTACAAACACATAATAAAAATAAAACATATTGAAAAGTGATTTATATAATGGAAACAGCAGTTACTATTTCTTCAATAATAAGTTGTTTATAAGAGCACATATATTGATATCTGAGGTCACTACCAGTCAGTATTGATATTAAAAGGCTGTATCAAATATACAACTAGTTTTAATACAGTGCTATAATTTACAGTCAACTGAGACTCAAATGGTCAGTTATTAGACTATTGCCTTAAAGGGACAGCGTGTCATTTTTGGGGGTTGATTTGAGACTTGAATATTTTTAAATAGTCTTCAGAAGTACTAGAAGTGTACAAAAAATCACATAATTCCTTCAAAAGTATCTCCAACTAGTTATTTCTTTTCCTATTTCTATAATGTCTTATGTCTATATATGGCAGTGTCTCAAGAAAAGACGACTCATCTTTTTAACTTTTGAATTAAAAAATAATTCGGAACATACATCTATATAGATTTAAAGGCTCAAATTTCGATGGTGAGCTGTGAACACTATTACTGATAGCCAAAAAATTCTCGTTTTTTAAAGTATGGTATGATTGGTCAAAAACAGGTGCCCTGTCCCTTGAAGACCTTGACTAATAAAGAGAAATATCTAGTGTATTTCCAATAGTAACATTTTTTTTATACAACTGGTGTCAAGAAATTAAAATACAAAATTTGATTTCTTTTTCTGTTTCAATTTTTTATAAACTGATGACACATATTAGTTTATTTTTAATTCTTCCTCTGCATTGGACAGTGTCTGTTTCAGTTGAAAAGATATATGGTAAAGTTTATATAAAGAAATAGATACACATCAAAGTCAAATTATCACGCTCATTAACCAATATACTACAAACAAGTTTTATATGTCTTTTACATCCCTCATTAAATCTTGAAAAACAATACTTGACGCGCAAAATATCTTAGATTTCATAATTGAAGGTTATTCATAACAATAGTGCATCATGTCCATGGAAAGAATACCCTGAATTTTCCTGTCAGCAAGACATTCCTTTTCTAGTCACATTGTCATTATTGTCAATATATTTTACATGTCAATGGACATAGATAAGGCCTACAATGTCTTATTTCCAAACAGAGCTGTCCTAATATTTCAATGTCTCTGTGCACTTACTCTTGTAGCAATGTTTTTGGACATTAGTTGCATAGTAATAATAGGCTTATCTGTCATTATCCTATGTTTTAATTTAATCCAAGTCAACAACTTTACTCACCAACCGTCCATCCATACTCGAACTTGTTTTGGTTTCTTTTCTGCCGACATTTTGCAATATAAACAACAGAATAAACCTGAACACCTGAAGGTACACGTTAGCTATAAATATGAATAAATCGATTGCTTGATAAGATATTTATAAGCAGAGCAAATACAAGTTTTTACTCGTGTACCCATACGCAAATCTCTATCAGGTGATCAAACATGACAGATAGTCTCGATCGTCATTAGTATTTTAATGCTTTCATTTCTTCACTTGATAACCAAGTCTTGTTTATTAATTTAAGCCAATTCTTTAGAGCTCACATTTAATTAGTCACAATTGCCATTCAATTGGATTTGAAGGATTAATTAAGAAGCATTGTTTGTAGGCTGAGGATATTCGCCACCTGGGAGGCAAACAATTATTCGCCTTTGTAACTACATGCAACTCAATAGTGCATATATCTTTTGCATCGGTTTATTGGGAAAAGACCGAAAGAAATTACTTAAAAAAAAAATTTCTAAATGAATAATCTGCGTATTTTCATGTAACTTTTAAAAAGAAATAGGCCTATCCTATCACAAATGACTCATCACTTAGGGGAAACAAAATTTCGTTTAAAATTCGGGCTGTTCAATGAATTGTACTTAAAAATGAAATACGAAAATTACGACTTTCTCATTCTGTAAACAGTAAGATCATGGCGGACGTCGAAGGGAGCGGGAGGTTCAAGCAGGTGCCCGAACAAAGTTTTCATTGATTTGATTTAGTTCTAGCCTAGTCGCTATTAGTCTTTAATTCTAGAAATCGATTATACTTTTCACCAAATATGTGCTTGTTATGATGTGCATGTTTTTGACATCGCCATTATAAAACACTTCAGACTTATCTAAAAATATCATTATATTGTCAACCTTTTCCATTTTGAACTCTTCCATTCTTGCATTTAGCAGTACGTCTGATACAGTAGTTGAGTTCATTTATTAAATTATAGGTTTCTTAGGTTTGCTCTGTTTTGTAGTCATTTGGACATCATATTCTGTGGGATTTCAGTGGTAGGCTAGCAAGAGGCCCTGGGCTGCTAATCTCTTCACTTGGCTTGTTAAAAATCAAAATTTAGACAGATGGTCTAAGAGTCAAAAAAACATATTCATATTTTGAATCCAAATGATGAGATATATTGTATTGTCCTTGGACATTCTTTATTGTCTTAAAGCGATAGATGCACCATTTTATTGACCAATCATACTTAAGGCTCAGAAACAAGAATTTTTTTAGCTTAGCTAATCAGTTAAAGTTTTCACAGCTCACTGTCAAATTTGAGCTTTGAAATCAATGTGTGTCCAGAATTATCTGCATTTGAAAGTTAAATTTTTTTTATGAGACACTGCCATATATAAAAAAAGACATTTAAAGAAATAGGAAGAGAAATTCCTAGTTTGAGATATTTTTTTAAGGAATTATGTGATTTTCGTACATTTCTGATATTTTGGAAGACTCATTACATACTCAAATCAAACCTCCCCCAAAATGGCACATCTGCCTCTTTAAATAAGTAACCTCTTGCGATGAATGGGACTGTCATGAGAGTATCAAAAATGATTTTTATATATTTCAGAAAACAGTTCAGAATCTTTTACAGCAACATTTTAAAGATGATAAAACAAAGTGTGAGTTTCTTTAATAGAAGATATCATTATCGATAAGGGTGGGGCCATTCATACCAATATTTCAAACAATACTATGACTGATAAAAAAAGATCAAGTTTCTAACATTTAGGCCTATATACGGTATCAGTTATCAAATATCCTCAAAAGTATTTACACAATTAAAAATTATTTTGATATAGATATTGCTTATATAATAACGGGAAAAGTAATTGTAACAAGAGGGAAAATGATAATGTGAGGTTTATTAAAGATGAATTCATCTAAAATAAAGACTTAACTTGCCTTAGATATATATTTAGCACCTGTAGCAAGAGGTATTGTTAGACTAGCATTGTTTAAAGTAGTTCATTACAGAATTATAATTAATCTGCTAATTAACACTATTGATAAGATATTAAACGAGAAATGAATCTGTAAATTGGTTGGTATTGCATGGATAGTAAAGTGTCTGCCTCAGGATAAGCCTAGTTGAATAAATAGAAGTTATGTCATACCAATGTCTTGTACTAAAGGGATATGGTAGTATAGATATTCTCTTTACTGAAATAGTTTCTTTAAATGTAGCCTACCCTGTCCTTGGTATATTAATTGAACAAGTTCGATTTTTATGGGGTTAAAAAAAATTTCATTTATAATTTTCATAGAAATGTTTTTGAAATTTATTTATTTTTATCATTTTCAAAGACTGTGTTACAATCAGCCTCAAACATCTCACCCCACTCCCTCTCATCCTTTCATACAATGATATGTAATTTAATTCTTGTAGTGAACGCAGATGCATTAAAATTAGTTACAGAAGTAATGAGAGTATTTGTGAAAGGTGAGAACTACTTGTATTCATTTTTTATTGCCATAGGATTGAAAAGGAGGCTTTTCTAGCTTTTGTGCTTGAATTGTGGGAAGTTCTTCCTTCATTTGCACATTTCTACTTTTCCTTTTGATATCTGTGATACCTTTAATTATTCGGAAAAACTTGACTAGATTTCACTATCTCAAATAGTGCTTCACAAAAGATTTTTCAGTGTATTAGTTACTTACACTTTATTCTACCTTATAAATACATCGATAAACTAAAAAAAATGATCAGGTCATTCCTTTAAAATAAATCAACTCGAATACGTGTTCAGATATTTATGTAATATAACAACAACTAAAATTGCGCACTAAATTGCGCATAAATAAACAACATTTGAACATAAACTGATACTAACAATAGAGACGTCCTAGAGAACAGCCAATCAAAAATAAGTAGGTTACCTATTTATGGTCTACTGTCTGCTACATGAAAGTAGCAGCCAAATTGGAAGTTCAATTATTGAAAGACGAGTTCTAAACAAGTTCAGAATTCATTATATTGTTGGTATTTGGAGTGTTAACATTTGAGGGAATTTAGAAAATACCTTTAACATTCAGTGATGTGTCGATTTCGGCTCTGTTGACGTTCGAAGAAACGTCATCGATGCTGTGTAGTGGCCATGCCAATCAAACTCAATGATAACAGTAGTCCATTAAGGGGCGGAGCTTATATTTTCTTTCCATTTACACAGATTTAAACCGAATGCATGTCACCGCTGTTATCCAATCAAATTGCATGATACCATGTAAACGGAATCGTGCTTTAATTATTAAAATTTGTACTTGATGTCATCATGATTTATGCTAACCTGATTTTGGTGTCTAAAACTGAACAAATCTCATTGGTTGAATGATGTTTTTTGGCAAATTGTAACAAAGTAAAATCTGGAGATGTCTATTGTTGCTGCAGCCCTTGTTTCCCATTGTTCCAATAAAATTCATTGTAGTTTATTGCATTGGTTTGTTTCAGAGACTGCATCAAGAGCTGCTATTCAAGCTAAAGTAAGTTCTCGTTTTTTGAAATATATTCCCATTAAAGGGACAGATTGGCCATTTTGTGGGGTCAATTTGGGTTTTGAATAAAGGTAAATAGTCTTCGGAAGTAATAGAAAATTAAAAATTACGTAATTTCGTTAAATAATTCATCAAGAAATGACAAGTCATCTTTCTGGATACTTCTGGACACACATGGATTTGGAGGCTCTACTTTCGACGGTGAGCTGTGAACACTATTACAGATTACCAGTAGATTAGCTTTGAAATTCCCTTTTCTGAGACTAAGGTACGGTTGATTGGTCAAAGAGATAGCGAACCTGTCCCTTAAACTCCAATGTAGTGAATAGGTATAGAGCTGTTTATGCTTTATTTAATTAACAGAAAGATTTATCTGATGAGGTTATGATTGAACATTTAGAGAAAATTCTCCCACAGTTGGTAAGTACTATTTGATTATTTTGTTGTATAGTGTTTCTTCCTAAATGATTTTTTCTTCTAAGCAACTTTTAATCATCTCACTTTTGAAACATTTGTTTTATCTATAAGTTATTGAAAGGAAATGGACTGGGCTATATTTCAGAACTAATTGTAATCCTTTTTCATAACTTTTTCAGCTGTTGGATTTTTAAAGAAATTTTATGATTGAAGGGAGACAACTACATTGGAGACATTATTTTTGTGATAATCAAGACTACTCCTGGTTAATGAAGTCTATGAGTGAAACTGACCTACTTTGATCACATGACTGTCATGGGTTTTGCACTTCTACTTGTGATTTAAGTTTATGATAAAAACTAAACTACATCTGTTTGAGATTGTGAACTCAATCAAGTAGGAGTGCAAACAGTAATACAAGATGATTTTGAAGTTAGGCCTGGGTTGCTTGCTCTTTTTCTTCTGTACTTTAGCACAGGGTTAGTTTATTTTAAAACTTCCTCTTTTTCTTTTATTATTATTACAGTAAACAGTAAATTTAGACTATTCTGGAAATCTTTGATGAATTGCAATCACGGAATATTGAAAATAAATTATGATTATGACTATGTCGAAGTCACAGCAGTTAATGGATATGTTGACAAAATTTAAAATATCAGACTGCCAGTTGCTCAAATTGACATTTTACCTTCAAGATAGACCACGTAATATTAATGAAGTAAGTTGAGATGCTATAGATTAGTTTACCGAAACGGTATATATTGGCAGGCCTATGATATGAGGAATACATAGTTCAAACACAAGTTAATATTTTGTATAATTATAGGAAAGGTGCTAGAATTTAAAAGTGAAAGTAAACAAGTATGGGACTATGTGACTGTTAGACCATCAGCCCATATGTTTTACTGGCATTACTATACCACCTCATCTAAAGGATATCAGAATTCACCTTATGTTCTGTGGTTACAGGTAATATATCTTTTTGTTATTTTAAGAAAGATTGCAATGGAATTACTGTTAGAATATCCTTATTTCATAGGGGCATAGAAGTGAGGACAAAAAGACCAAGTTAAATTGAATAAAGTTTGAAACACTATAAAATCTGAATTTATCATTTTTTTGCTGTTTTTTAGGGAGGGCCAGGTGGATCTGGTACAGGCTTTGGTAATTTTGGGGAAATTGGTCCCCTTAATGTTACGCTAGATAAAAGAAATACTACTTGGGTAAGCTATTTTTGATATCACATTGATAAAAAAGTAATTGGATAAAATATTTGTTTGTGTATAGAATGGTGTATACAAAGATAACAATAAAGATAATAGATAATTGACGCAATGGTGTAACATACTACTATCTGCCTTTTATTCCAATATATATTATGATTATATTGATTTGTATCACTTGATGACAATACAATTTTGTTCATAGATTCTCTAATCAATAAATTCAAGAGTAACAGTGGTGAAACTGTTACATTATTTTATATGATCATTACCTTTGTTAAAGTATTAATTGATGGCTTATCTTTTTCATCCACTATATTTAACTCTTTCATAAACTAAATTATTTGTATTTTGGTCAGATCTAAAGCTAAATTAACACTTGTGATCCCATCAGAAATCATGTGTCCATCAAGACTTTGCTGGATATTCTGCAATGTCCCTGTACCCCACATGGTTTCACTAAGTGCCAAGTGGTAGGATTTTCCATTCTTTGTACAACTCCATAAGTTAAATCTACCTCTTGACTGTGTTTTGGTACCTTGCAGGGCACAGGGACATCATAGAATATCTGGCAATGTCTTGATGGACACATGATTTCTTACTTATTGTTCAGCTTTGTATAACCAAAAAGTGAGTTGGAGCAGCTCCAATAAAATGTGACGGGTAGGGCCAGATTTGTCAGGCTCGTTGTTTGTAGGTAATCCAGTAGGTACAGGTTATAGCTATGTAGATAATGATAAATTGTATGGTATATATTTCAGCTATCTGTAGCCAGTCTGTTGTTTATAGATAATCCAGTAGGTACAGGCTATAGCTATGTAGATAATGATGAGGCCTATACTACAGATGTTGATATGATCGCTCAGGATTTGCTCACGATATTTACTGCTGTTTTAAAAAAACTACCAGAATTTGAGGTAAATTTCTTTATGTTGGATATTGATGTTGATATTAAGAGACAACAATTGTTAAGGATATAGACTTCTATTTATTCCTTTTGAACACAACGTTTCATTAAACATACAGGAAACATTCTCAAGTGATGAGAAGATATTTTTTGGTGGATTTCAAACATGGTATTAAGAATTGTGAATATCTTCTGATGTTCTTTTTTATATGAACCTAATTCTTCTCAAGCGTGATATGAAAAACAACAAGGATCAAAATGTTCTTTGCGTAAATGAGATGATGATATTTTTTGATACAAGAGCTATATTAAAATAAGATATGAATATATATAATATCATTATTGTAGACAGTACCATTCTATATATTTTCTGAATCTTATGGTGGTAAAATGACTGCAGCATTCAGTGATGTTCTATATTCAGTAAGTGAATTTTCTTAACAGCATTTATTTTCAGCTTTCATTGTTTTTTGTTTATCTTATCTCATTTGGTCTTTTCAATTTTCAACCAATATCAAGCCTTTTTTTAATGATTTTCTTTTGTTATGAATTATTCTTTTTTTCATTTGAAACAATTGATTGATCATACTTTAATCTTTCTAAAACTATATACATTTTGTTTTGTTTTCAGAGTATACAAGCTGGTAAAATAAAGTGCAATTTTAAGGGTTTTGCTATGGGAGATTCATGGATTTCTCCAATTGACTCTGTTTTAACATGGGCTCCTTATCTACACACTAATGTAAGTCTAATATATTTCTTCTCGTACAAATATAATCAAGTAGATAAAATAGACAGAAATCAACAGCAGTTTGATTTCGTTTAATATGTGATAAGTCTAGAAAAATGTTACTGGACATCGTAACAGAAGCTAAAATTGAGTTCTTCCTACTGGTACACCTATTACTTTTATACACTGGTGGTTTACTTTTCAGTCTTTAGTAGATTTAGTAGGGTATACCAAGGTAAGTGAAGCAGCCATGAAGACTGGAGAGTTACTTAACAAGGGAGAATACTATAATGCTACACAAGAATGGTCTGCTACCGAAAATATTGTAGAACAAGTTACTAATGGGGTCAATTTTTATAATATTCTACAGTGGGGAGGCTCTGAACTGCATGCTAAAATACCACCAAATTTAGGAAAATTAGGTAAGAAGGAAAGATAATAATATACTAGGTTGCAATATATGTGTTTCTTTCAGGATCAACGCTGTAAGGACAAGTCAAATGTTGTTTTGAGATGGGTGAACAACCAATGCTACTAATCATATTAGGTTTAAGAATGATAAAGACTAAAAAAAAATCTAAAATATCTGCCACCGACAGAGATTAACTGACTGCAGGTATTCAAGTAGTGCTTGTCTTGCTCTTTGTATTAAGACAAGATAGGATAATTTGTATGTAATTTATAGTATTTTTATTTATATCAATTAAATATAATGAATTTTGAATCTTTTGTTTAGAGAAGTTATGGCACCGACATGTTGGAATTTACCAGGCAGATTCATTAGCAGAATTAATGAATGGACCAATCAGAGAAATGTTGGGAATTATTCCCAAAAAAGTCACATGGGGAGGTGAGTCATTTTTAAATATTCTAGATGTGGAGCTTCTGAATTTTACTTGTCACTTCTTTCAGTGTCAATCAAGATTTATATGTAGTGTTCTGTGGGGATGTTTCTTATTTGGTGATGGGGATTTCTCAAGATATAAACATCAAGTTCATCCATGCTTTATTCAAATATATCCCCTCTCTAGGCTTATCTTGCGTCCCCAAAAAGGAAGGGTGAACTTCTCCCTCTGATTAGAAGGGAAGTAACTCTTGTAAAGAAGTGTCTCATGCAGACAACAATATGCTTATTTTTTTAATGATTAAATTTGGACCGAGTTTTGATATACAGAAAAAATATTCTGATCACAGATTAAGAAATTAATTTTTTTTTTTTCGTTTTAAGGACAATCTGGTATGGTATTCCAGAAACAAAGTGTAGATTTTATGAAACCAATTGTAAGCACTGGTAAGTTTTCTGTATGAATTAACATACAATGACAGCTGGAAAAACTATGTCTGGCAAATTGGTGTTGTTGTCATTCATCGCATCATTCTTGCCCTGTATCACCAGTGTCACTGATTATTGTAGAGAACTTCAAAGATAAATTATACTAAAAATCAAACGCCTAAAGGTTATAGACTGAAGATAGATCTGTGGGACGAGAATCATTGGAATCATCAGACTATTGGTGTGTAATGTAAATATTTAAGGAAGATTATTAGTAACATAACATTTTACTATTTCAGTAAATAAGCTAATCCAGAATAGTGATTTAAAAGTTGTTGTATATAGTGGACAATTAGATCTTATAGTAGATTCACTAGGTAGGTTGTATTATTTTTTAATAATCAAGATTTCCTATGTCATGTTATTGATCCATCCAGATCCACAACTGTCCTTGTCTTCCTTTCCTTCACTGCAAAGTCTTTATTAGTTTTAACAGAGACCTGTAGTTCCATGTAATTTCATTTCACAATTGAGTTTCAACAGTTATATATTTAAATTATTTGATATTATAGGAACAGAAAATTGGGTTCATACTCTATCCATTGATGAAGAATACAAACGAGCCACTAGAGTACCTATTTATAATCCTGTTACCAAAGAAACTGCAGGTTTTGTCAAGAAGGCTAAAAATTTTGAATTTTATTGGATATTGTCTGCTGGTCATATGGTAAGAGATTTAATATAGGCCTCTACAAACTTTGTTCTTAATTGTGGTTTTGAAAGTGTCAAGATGGATAGTTTATTGCAAGATACTAATTTGTTCAATTCCACCAACAAAAGTTGGCAGGTGCTTTCATGTTAACTAATTTTTTATTTTGTTTTGTTTTAATATTTAAGGTACCAGCTGATAATGGCCCTACTGCATTAAAAATGTTAAAGATGATTACTGAGAATTAACTTCTGAGCTTTCAGTTATTACTCAAATGGTAACCAGATTTGTCTTATCAACTTATTTACACATCAGTTACAAACATTCAGTTAATAGAGATTTGAGGACCCTGGTGTGTATAAACAAATTTGCTGAGCTGTGGTAATTAAGTTTATACTTACACAGTTGTACACAATTTGTAGTTTCAGTCATACAATCCTGCCTTTATTTGAAAGAGTAGTTTTTTGTTTGTTTATTAATTTTGTATAGTTTTTGTTAATAAATACTTTGTAATTATGTTTGACTATCCTTTTATTTTCTGCAGGCCGAGACCTTATTCTCGAAATATGAGTATTTAAGTCATGCGATTGGGCAATCACATTTTAATTTAATTATCCTAGCAGAGACTACTATTTTTCTTCAAATCTGAGTTTTATCATACTGTAGTAAAGGTTTTGATGGCCCCTGGTGTAGATGTTCAAAGAATAGAGCTAAATTTCAGCACTTCATAACAGATTTCATCATGATAATCTGATGTTCAGTTTTCCTCTAATTTAAAAATTTGATGCAAGTTTAAACAGTTTTCACACTATATCAGTGAGTCCATGGTCATTACAAACATTTTCAGATGCAGTAAACATGTTGGTGATGACTGTAACTTATGTTTAAAGGGATAAGTGTGCCATTTTGGGTGGTTGGTTTGAGTCTTGAAGATATGTAAATAATCTACAGAAGTACTAGAAATTTACGAAAATCACATAGGCCTAATTCTTTTAAAAATACTTCAAAGTAGGAATTTTACTCGCTATTTCTATACATCACAAGTCGTCATTTTAAACATTCAAACGCAGATAATTCTGGACACTCTGCATCTGAAGGTTCAAATTTCAACGGTGATCTGTGAACACTATTACTGATTAGCTCAATAAATTCCAGTTTGAGACTAAAGTATGATTGGTCAAAAAAATGGCCAAACTGTCCCTTTAATGTTAATATTGGCCTGGAGGTGTTACCAACTTCACAATGCTCAAAGTATTCTGAATTTATATCTTGATTGTTCACCAGCGAATAGACAAATCTTAGACTCAACAGACTATAAACACTATGACATGTTTAACATACTGCATTTACAAACTTCTTAGATGCCAGAAAAGTGGCTATTACAGTCAAGTTACAAGTTCATAATAGCTTGACATTGTGAAAATGGCAAGTTGGAGACATCAAATAAGTGAAGTTGAAAACATATGTTCGGAACATTGAATCTTTAACAGTCACTTATTCCATCCTGGAACTAAGGGGATTGCTCTTGCACAATTTAAGTGTTTAATCAAAATAGAGAACACAAGAAAATTTTAGTAGTTTATTAACTATTTTATAAGCCATTATCATAAATTCCACAAAATGAAATATTTACAATGACAAAATTAAAACAATATGAAATCCCTCTTCCCCTACCCTAAAAACTGTTTTCTTTATTTTCTCATAGTGCTTCAGTATGAACTAAACTAAAACTAAATTTCAATTGAACTACATAACCCTACATCGAACACTTCATGTTACTTTGCACCTGAAGAGTCTGCAGTGATATCCCTTTAAACCATCTGAATATCTATAAATTTGCCAGATTAAAGACATACATGTAAACAAAAATCAAAATTTTTAACTACAATGAGAAATGGTGACCTACCAGCAGGTTTTAAGAAACTGCAGGCTTCATTCCACTTCATTAAGGATGGCAATATAACCAAGAAGGTCATTCTCCAACTGTTTCCCTAGAAATTTTCAGTTGAGATATTACAATAAAATATATTCCAATCAATTAATGCCAAATGACTGTCGCCAACCAAAGTTGGGGGTATTAAACCCAACAGTACAACTGTGACAGTTATAGTAATTTTGAAAGATAATCCAAAAGAAAAACAGTTTTGCTGTCGCCAACTTGTTAGTTAGGGGCAATACAACCCAACAGCTCAAGAATAGCTGTGACAGTTTTTGAATCACAATTTTTTAAATGATGTCGCCAACTTAAGGTTGGGGGCCTAAAAAACCCAACAGCTTTTTGCTGTGACATCTAATTAAGAAATTAGAAACCAGTCGCCAATTTAGAAATTGGGGGTCATTTTGACCCAACAGTCAGAGAACTGCTGTGACCAACTTGCCTGAAATCCTTAATACAAGCACCTGAAAACTTCAAATTTGAAAGAAAACATCGCCAACTATGTTGGGGGCAAAGGCCCAACAGCAAAATAAGTTTACTGTGACTGACTCACTTGATAGTTGGAACATCAGTTGTTATCCACAAAAATGTATGCACTAGGGCACAAAATAAATTATGGTTTGACAAAATAGATATTTTTGTATACCCAGGTAAGCAGTATAGCTTAAAAGCAATATATTTTTGCGTCTCAAATAACACTTGTGAAATTGTAATACATATATATTTTGTGCCCCGAGCATAAAGGCATAGTTCAAATAAATGTATGGATGAAGAAATATGATTGAAGAATATTTTTGTCCAGTTATTTTGTCTCTACCAAATATGAAATACTATTTCAGCTGCCTTTTATGTTTATTTATTGCCCCTTGTGACACTTTCCAGAAAAAAAATATGACTCCAGTTGAAGTGACTTTTCCAGATTAGTTCAAATAATGTAAAACTCGGTTCAGATTTTTGATCTGAAAAGTGATTTGGGAAGATAAAATTTGAATATCGCAGCTATTAGAAAAGTTGACTGGAGCATGTTTTTAACATTAAGAGCATTGTTCACAGACTTGTAGAAGCCATGAAACTTTATAATTGAAATTTAAATGAAAACTAAATTAATGGAATCACATTGTTTTTGATTGAACAATAATATGTGGTATAAAATATTTCAAAAATTTATGAAAACTTTATTTCAAGATGGAGACAAATGATTAAAACTTACCACTCAATGAGTAATGTGGAGATCATATTGACCTGAACAACAACTGAAGTCTTACCTCTTTCAATGGCAAATTATTTACAATGTTAAATATCAATTTACAATAAAATGATGGTAAAAGTGAGAGGCCAGGAAACTGTGCTTATTCTCAATTCAGCACTTTAGCACAATCGTATTCAGTCTCTAAAACATGGAGCCAAACTTTTCAGTTACTGTGGCCTTTGTTTAGCACCCAACATTATTAAATCAAAATCCAATCAAAATTTGTTTCAATCAAACTTAAATAACATTATTCAACAATTTACAATCAAATCCAGGCCTCAAACTTTGAATGATTAAGAAAGAAAATTTAACAACAATAATAACTAATAACGTCCTCCCTGCATCATTCTGCCCGTTCCTCTCATAGCATTGTTAAACGGCATGTTAAAACGATTACCCGGGGCCATGGACATTTGATTGGCCATTGTTGTAGGTAGTCCTCCCATCATTGGTGCTTGTGACATTGGTGGTCTCATTCTTGGATTTGCACCTGGAATTTAATGTTACAGCATTGTATTACAATATTGAGCAACAAAATCAAAGGCCTCTATAACTATGAGAATTTGCAACATCTTTTGTAGACACTCGACCACATATTGTCTCAGTGTTAGACATTGTTGACAGTAGTAAAAATTACATGACCCTTACAAACATTCAAAGGTTCCTATGAATGTTTAAAACTACTTCAATTAGTTTTACATTTTATGTAATGGCTTTCAAATATCACCACAAAATAAAGGGACTCTTACCTGCCATCATTCCAGCTTGAGCTAACATCATTGGCTGCATTTGACTTACAGTAACCATAGTAGGAGGCTGAGTTGTCATGGAAACACCAGGTGTTTTCTTGTAACGTGGTAAAGAGGCTCGGTATTCTTCCTGAAATTAGATTTTTTTTCAATTAGAAATTATACAATAACCTATTTAATCTTATCAACATTTTTTGAATTAACCGTTTCCAACTCAAAATAGCAAATGGCAATTATGTACTGATATTTATGAATATTTATGATTAGCAGACTTACAACCAAATGGCTCTAGACAACTGAAATCTTTAAAAATTGAACCTGGAACTAAAAGGCATGTGCGAATGGCATAATGACATCAATATGGGATATGTTATGCAGGATGAGTTTTGTATTCCAGTATTTAGAGATAAATGACTCAATAGCCATTACTATCTCTATATCTTTATAATTTCTAGTTAGGTAACTCAATTCAAGCACTACAACTATAAAGATATAGCCTTGACATTCCTATGAGCTTCATCAATACTCTAATTAAATTACCAATAAAACTTTTCAACTGTTAAAATAGTGCATCAACTGTAGAGAAATACAAAAATATTCAACACTTCACATGGATAATAAAGCAGGAACATGGACTAACCTCAGATGACAAGCTGTCGATAATAAAATTAGAAGATTATTACTTACCAATGATATATCCTCATCGGGATGCATTAATTTAGAAGTCAAACCTGAGCTAGACTCTGGCTTTTTAATCATTGGAGCTCCAGTGATGGTGGCACTCGAGGACACTGAGGCAGCTGCCGGGAAGGTGGGTTTACTCATACCTATACTACTATTACCCATTAAATTTGGTGGCTGAGACTGAAATAATAATATTAATAAAAATACTAATTCAATCCTATGAGAATGCTTTAAAGGAAAAGAAATATTTACTTGAACAAGGCATGTAAAAAAATAAAGCAATAACCAGACAAAAACTCCTATAACCAGATGATAATTAGTGATCAAAACTTTTTCTGCTTCTTTGTAGATCCTCAATTTCCTCATATCAGCATACAAATTGTAAAAATTGTAAATTACCCTCACCTGAACTGCTGAAGGAAATAGGGGTCGTGGTGGAACACCTTGAGAAGGAGGTCTAGGGGGCATTCCCATTGGACCCATATTTGGGGGCATTCCTGGAGGCATGTTAGGAGGCATTCTGGAAAAAAAATCATTACTCATATTGGATTCATTCTGTATTTCTTTCAAAGTCAACCCATTTGTTAGTGAGACTCTTAGTTTAATTTCAACATTAAGAAAGATTAGAATTCAGGACTTCAGGTTTATTACAATGTCAGTATAGGTCCTGACAATACTTTCCAGCTATTCATTTTTTCAATATTACATCTTATCCAATTTGATCAAATTGATTGTAGAGTCTGACTTACCCCATTGGACCCATAGGACCTGAAAAATAACATCAAAATTGCTGATAATAATCCCAATAAGTTCATCTGTTTTCATAAATGTAATTGAATCTACTGATCTGTTTATGTCAGAATGACAATTTTTATATCAAAAAAAACTTTTGAAATAGAATACTCATTACATGTTACTTGTTGGACCAAACTAACATCTATGACTATAAACAATCATGACTGCACCAACCTTTAGTTCATTTAAAGAATTCCTAAATAAAAATAAGATTTCTACCTACCCATCGGTGCCATTGGACCCATAGGTCCCATTGGACCCATGGGGCCCATACCCATTGGAGGAGGGGGCATTCCAGGGGGAACAAAGTTCATTGGACCTGGTGGACCTCCTGGCATACCACCAGGAAATGTCGGTTGTCGTGGCTGGGGCGGGGCATGGTTAGAATCTTCATCAGAGTCTGCACCTACAGCACTGGCACCACCTGGAATTAACAATAAAAGAACTTGTAAATAATGACACATCATATATAGGTCATATTATAATAGATTATATATATGATAGATTTATTCACAAGAAGAAAGCCTGTTCACAGTTTGTTCTTCAGTTGGCTACTATCATGATCAGAAACATTTTTAATCTATACACACCTTGTTTGCTATTTTTTAATCTTTCATGTTCTTTGATATCTTCAGGTGGAATACCTTCCATTCCATAAATTTCTATTTCACAATTATTTCTACCGGGTAAGGAATTAGGTACTTTATCAATCTTCTCTTTATGTACCTACAAAAAAAAAAGATATTTAAGCATAATGATGAAGAGGATACACCCAGATAAAATCAGTCATTTTTCCAACACTAAGTACAGCTATGGTATGGATCCACAAATTTTCTTTCTCACCAAAATGAAATGATATGACGTTTTATGTCCCACTTTTCTGTATCATGTGGGCTAAAGAAGACACCATAAATGCATCAAAATATTGTAAAATTTGAATGATGAATATAATTTTTGATTGATGATGTCAGCTGTTAGCTTTTTGATTACTGTATAGATGAATTTGTGTGCTTTTAAAAGTCTTACCTGCATGCAATGTATAGAAAGACCAGGACCAGTATATAATTTCTTATGACAAACATGACATTTAAAATGTTTGGCCTTTTGATGCTGTATTAAGATCTTTTCATCATCAAATTCTCTGTTACAATACCTTACAAGAGGTTAAGGAAGGCAATCAACTCATATCAACACAGTGCAAGTCATTATCAAAAATGTTGGTTTGTTTGCCGAATCATTAAAAAATATCTAATATTTAAATCTATTCTAATCACTCTCAGTGTCTATCAAATCAAAAATCTATTTTCGAACACTTTCTATTAATTAGAGGTTATTTTGTGTTTTGATTAGATACAAATTAATGTAGAATTTCAAACTCTCATCAATATACAGTCCTGTCCTTCTTAAAATGAATATTAAAATGGAGCAGAGGATCAGACTGATCAGACTGACCAGAGCCCTACCTATGCTTCTCTAGAAGCCTACCTAAAAGTATCCGAAGCAAATCAATGGACCATAACTTGAGTGATTAATAGAAACAATTTGTATCTAACAAAAAACAAACAGTTCTTGTACTCGTCACTCCTTCTGAACAAGACAAAGGTCACTCAACAAACACATTTTTGTCAACAGAAAAAAGAATGTTGGACTTGATTGAAATCGTATTGCTGTTTGATTTGTTAAAAACAAACACTTTGAAAGGATACCAACACCAAGGCTTGATCTGCTTCTTCTTTTTTCGACCCATAATTGTAAAAGGACCTAAATAAGATATCTATCTATCTACAACGTATTATGTATTGCACTGATACGTTATAACATGGCGATCTGTATCAACCCGGATGCACAGGGACCATTCGCAATTTCCAATTACGAATTTCATCTATTTGCATTTTTAATCCACTAAATATTTGTCAATGGTCTCTAATAATGAATATTAGACAATTTAGATATTTTTGATTGAAATATACGATTCGTTATTCTACAAAAAGATTTTATACAATTGCAAAAATCTCAACAATAACTACTCCAAAATAGAGAAGATAACTCTTTCCTTCAAATTTATGTTTTCAGGGAAGACAGACTAATAATATTTAAAGCCACAGTATGCAATGCGATATGGTTTATACACATTTAAAGATGGGTTTCCTTATTTTCATAGTGTCAAATTAAGCAAACTATTTGAATAATTGGTGCTTCTAAGGCATTTATCATGTATTCTTAATCATATCAGTATGTTCTTATAGCATATAATTAAGAGTTTTAACCAATCATAAATGCTCATGTATGTACAGTCTTGATAAACAAAAAAAGACTTTTTCACCTTTCTTGATCGGTCGCTCATTGGAATTCTGTTGGTAATTCTCTTCTAATTTAGCTAATTATGAATTAATTATGGACATGTGAGACAAACTGGTATTTTTCCAAGCCATTAGAACCACCTCTACTTTCTATTCATATAAGTATTAGCATTTTCATTTTCATAAATGAAAATAAGGGAACCCATCTTTAACGAATTGGTGAGAAATCTGTAGTTTCGATGGAACTCAATCCCCAGAAACTCAGAAATCAATGGTTACAGGAATATATAAGGTGGAACGCTATCTACCAAATAGGCCTAGGCTTAATTTCAGAATAAAATACCACGATTTCTTAAGAGTCGGTGGTGTCATTTGGGGTAAATTGATTGCTTTGAATCAGAACAGCCTATATTAGTCTCTTCTCGACAAGGGTTGGAAGGTGGATATGGGCCCGACACTCGGAAGGATTGGCACAGCTATCAGAATTGTAGCATATAATCCAACTAGCTACCGATTGAGCTGTTCCGCTGCCATGTTTAGAGTTGATCTCAAGAATATCATAAAAACAAGTTTTGAATCCTTGCATCTGAGGCCACTACGGGCAGATTTCTTGTTGACGGCATACGACGGTCGTCGAGGAGGGTAAAGTTGGTTTTGGGAGGATTCAAGCTAATATAGAACAATTTACTTCTTGCGAATCCGAGCCGGGGATTCCATAGCTTGATATCCAAAGGTCATTAATTTCATCCAGTTAGTAATAAAGAAACTGTCATCAGGAAACTGATTCTGAGTAACTGGTCACATTTAAAGTTAGTTAGTCTATCCCGACTATCTGATCATTATTTGGGCCTAATAATTTCGAAAGCGTAAGATATAATACAGTATAAAAGTGAGTTAACTTGTCTAATTTAATTCGATGGGGATATCTACTCGAAAAACAACCCCATAAAATATTTAAATGTTTTCTGTTTTACGGAACCAGATAATTATTTTTCGACCGCTGTCCAAAGACATGACTCCATGGATTTACCGCCTGTCCGTTTCATGAATTATTTTCTACAATATTTCCCTTTCCCACCCCCTACTAAGCCTACATGTATAAAACTCTAGTCAACATATTGAAAGGCCTTTATTTTGTGGACAAAAATGAGAATATATATATAGCCTTTCAAAATATATAATCATGCATTAGCCAAAGTTACATTTAAATACATAAAAAGCCAATTTAAAGCCCATGTTTAAATACGGTTCGTATACATCATTTATTTATTTTAATTTTTAATTAAAAAACTGGAATCCTATAGGCCACATTTTCTTATATACTATTTCAACATGACCCTTTCGTTTTTTTAAAAAATGAAATTAGATCAGATAGGATGAACAAGGAAGTTAAATTGTAGGATATTGAGGCCAAGTGTACGGTGACAGGAAGTTGAGACTTAGTTTAAACAACTTATTTAGGCTATACACGTGGGATAAATTAAACAGTAGGCCTAGTACCGTGAGTGTAGTAGTAAGTGACATACAGGAACCCTTATTGGCGGAACTAGTAGGCCTAGATCGTTCATTTGATACCGTTGTTCTAAATCCATCGACCATGTCCTGACGTATTCTGCTGTGATATTTTTTAAGGTTCAATGCAAGAGGACTTACACTCTCAGGTAGATATATAGGGATTGAATGATAGGGCTCAAATGACCTTGATGTTAGATTTGATGTTAGATCAAATAGGGGGTCCATTAGGATGGTGAAGATGGAGACGAAATTTAAAATAGTAATTTTAAAAGGGTAAAGGGCGAACACTTCACTGGTGTTATATTTACAATCAAGTCAATATTTATTATTGAAGTATTTCTATAGTTGATCTAAATCTTACCCATTACTGATCGCTTGATTACAGAAATGGTAGGTTTAAAATGCCTCATGGACCGTTTTGTGTTGTGGTGTACCACAAAATTTGGCTCGAGATGTCTGGAGTCTGTGCTAGATGGTTTTGAGTGTTTTATCATTCCCTGTTTATTTGTCTCATGCAGCTTTGAATAGCCTGTGCAAAGTTACAGGGGTTGTCTGTAGTGAGTTGCTGTATTAACCCCATTATTATATATATATAACTAACAGGCCCATAGCTAGCCCAAATATTTTGAAAGGGGGGCTCAAACTATAGTGACTCAGGCCAAGATTTCTAGCCATGAGCTTGATAACCAATAGACATTTATTGTTGTATTTTTCAGAAGATGGACGGATTTGAATATTTAGATTTCTATGAAGAACATTACCATACATTAACTAGATCTATCAACCCAGAAGCTTTTCTGGCTCAATTGCGATCTGCTCGTATCATCTCTGAGAGTGACATGGATGAAATTCAAAATCATTTTGCTTATAAAACTAAAATACAAAGAGCTGGTAGGTAAAAAATATATTCATACTACTTACTATCTCTACTTCAAATTTGAAAAGGTAGCGAGTATGAAAATAAAAAATAACTAGTCACTTGAATTCAACAATTGGTACTGGCATAGAATTAAAAATAATGAAATTTATTAAATAAAAAAGAAAAAACGCTACCGGTATAAGGTGGGTGGTTTTTATGATCTGAAGATAAGATCCCTGCCGAAATTGTATGATATAGATATTTAATAACACTTAAATATTAAATAAATGCATGGATTGTGTATAAGATATTTATAAATTTGAGACTCAGAACTTGACTGCTTGGACATGATTGTTTGGAGGGGAAAGTAATAAGTCTGGATGGGCAATGATGTGTTGTGTTTAGTTGCAGTAATGGAATTTGGTTGTCAGAAGTTTTCAGGACTGCAATCCATTTTTTGAGGGGGAAATATTTAGAGCCCCATGGTGTCTATTTACTTACTAATTTGCAACTCGGAAGAAGTTGAATCATGTAACTTAGATATTTGCTTTTCTAGTATATGATTCTCACCTATTTTTTGTAAGGCAGAATTTTTTATCTTTGAATATTGCTTGTTTTGTGTTATAAATTGAAAATAACAAGCATGAATGAAAACATAAAGTAATTTGCATATATCGTGTGATGAAGATTGGGTGAAATTATTTAGTGTTTTTGCAATACACAACTACATTCTGGTGCAAATAGTTTGTTATCACCCAAGGATGAATTTTCTAGAAAATCCAAAAAATGAAATAATTTTTTTTATGAGTGCTTGAAAACGGGTTCAAATTTTACCTTTTAACCACTGAAAACACTACTTTATACTGTAGACTGAAACATCAGCCTCTATATCAAAATCTGATAGATATTTGGACAGTTATCCTTGGGGAGGAGTCAAAAAAAACTAGGCACTGTTTTATGTTTTTTTTGGACCCCCCATAATTTAACATAACAAAATACCACACCTCTGAGAAAAAATGTAAGATTTATTTGCGAAATGGAGCTATGATGGAAATGTTTGTTTGTCTGTGTAGAAAAGTATCTTAGATCTCTGGATGACATATTTTATTGTTTTGTTATATCCAGATTCAAATCTGTTTTTCAGGTATATTTTTGGACATTTTGAAAAGGAAAGGTGAACAAGGATTTTATAAGTTTAAAGAGCTACTGGGCTGGGAATATCCTCATGTATTTCAAATTGTTTTTATTGATGAAAACCCTTCACCAGCACCAAATGGTAGGTATGAATGTGTATAAGAATTATACTGCATTGCTCATTAATGTCAATTGGGGACAAGACAATTATTCATGCTATGGAATGTGTGTGAGAGCAGTGGCTTAATTTTTGGCTCTCAGTAGTCATTGGGTAGTCATTACTACATCAGAAAGTTTGAGTCATCTCTTACTCATAATATAATGATTGATATATTGCTCTACAATTGATGTATTGAGCACTATTTAAACAGTGGTATTTCTCTATCACTCTACAATCGATGTATTGAGCACTATTTTAACAGTGGTATATCTATATCGCTCTTCATTTGATGTATTGAGCACTATTTAAACAGTGGTATTTCTCTATCACTCTAAAATCGATGTATTGAGCACTATTTTAACCGTGGTATATCTATATCGCTCTTCATTTGATGTATTAAGCACTATTTAACAGTGGTATTTCCATATCACTCTACAATCGATGTATTGAGCACTATTTTAACCGTGGTACATCTATATCGCTCTTCATTTGATGTATTGAGCACTATTTTAACAGTGATATATCTATATCGCTCTACAATCGATGTATTGAGCACTATTTTAACAGTGGTATTTCTATATCGCTCTACAATTGATGTATTGAGCACTATTTTAACCGTGGTACATCTATATCGCTCTTCATTTGATGTATTGAGCACTATTTTAACAGTGATACATCTATATCGCTCTACAATCGATGTATTGAGCACTATTTTAACAGTGGTATTTCTATATCGCTCTACAATTGATGTATTGAGCACTACTTTAACAGTGGTATTT